TATATATATATATATATATATATATATATATATAAATAAAAAAAATAAACACAAATATAAATATAAACAAGTAAACATAAACTTACACATTGAGCTGTACTATTTGTTTGTATATTTTCTCTATAAAGATAAATACAAAAAAAAATAAAAAACAAAAAACTATAAACACAAATATAAATAAAAAAAACAAAAAACTATAAACACAAATATAAATAAAAAAAACAAAAAACTATAAACACAAATATAAATAAATAAACAAAAAAAAACTATAAACACAAATATAAATAAATAAACAAAAACAAAAAACTATAAACACAAATATAAACAAACAAACAAAAATAAAAAACTATAAACACAAATATAAACAAACAAACATAAACCTAAACAAACAAACATAGACTTACACATTGAGCTGTTTTATCTGTTTGTATATTTTCTCTTTCTCTACTGGATAAACATTTCCTTTTACTAATATATATAAATACATGAAAAAAAACAAAAAAAAAACTATAAACACAAAAACAACAAAACAAACAAAAATAAAAAACTATAAACACAAATATAAATAAACAAACATAGACTTACACATTGAGCTGTTTTATTTGTTTGTATATTTTCTCTATAAATATAAATACATGAAAAAAAGGCAAATAAAAAACTATAAAGACAAATATAAACAAACAAACAAAAACACAAAACTATAAACACAAATATAAACAAACAAACATAAACCTAAACAAACAAACATAGACTTACACATTGAGCTGTTTTATCTGTTTGTATATTTTCTCTTTCTCTACTGGATAAACATTTCCTTTTACTAATATATATAAATACATGAAAAAAAACAAAAAAAAAACTATAAACACAAAAACAACAAAACAAACAAAAACAAAAAGCTATAAACACAAATATAAATAAACAAACACAGACTTACACATTGAGCTGCACTATTTGTTCGTATATTTTCTCTTTTTCTACCGGATAAACATTTCCTTTTACAGGGACAATCTGCGGCATATCTACATAAAAAGGAACCTCAACTGAAACTTCGTTCGGTGGTAGCGGAGAAGGCACAGGCACCGGCGTCTCCACCACAAACTCCTAAAAAAAAAAAAAAAAAAAAAAAAA